ACATGGGTGGGTGGTGTTATTCCCGTCAGTGGTCAGTCTGTGTTAATTCCAGATTCTATAACTGTTAGTATCGACACAAGTTTAACCATCAACATCGTTCAAATAGTCGTGAATGGTGGTCTAAATCTCACTTCGGATTCATTTACATTTATGTTTTCCATTAACATCGTCATCGGATCTAATGGCTTTTTTGATTCGACTACAACAGTAGTATTCCAACCGAATTCCGTTCTGTACGTTAACGAGGACGGTGATTACTATGATGGTTCAGTTCTATCATGCGGCTCACATCAACTATCAATTGAATCATTTTCCGGACCTTACACTGTGGCGTTCGATTTATCCGGAAACATTCATACGTATATTTGTATGTGTCTTTTATCATCCTAGTTCTCTGGTGACTGAATCAAAGTGTTCTACTTTTAGCCATAACATACTTGGTTGTTTCAACTGGTGAATTCTTGACCCCTAGCACATGGTGTGGCGGTGTTGCGCCGACAAAGAATGATTGCGGTAAAGGTTGTGATTTAGAGATTCAGCCTTCTGTCACTTTGAGTACCACTTCTCTGAGTGGTACATTATCGATCAACTTTGTGAATATCAACATTTACGGAACTATCCAATGTGGAAGCTCAGATGTATTCACGGGTTTCACATTTCTATTTATTGTCAATATAAACGTATTCGGTAATGGTGCCATCCAAGACGTCACAGGCAAACAAGGATCGAATAAATATGGCTTTTATCTGGCGTTTACTTCGCTTCTGACAATATTCAGTGGCGGAAAATTTATTACTCAAGGACCAACGTTTGTTTATTCATTCCAGACAGTGGGAGTTATTGTTGGAACAACTAATTTTGGATCATCTTCAGGTTTAAATGTTGGTGGACCATTTACTATAACCGTTAGTTCAAGTGGTTCCATTTCCTCTGTGAATAGTAAGTATAGTAACTCAGGAAGCAGTGTCTATGATCAGTATGAGTGAAAACTGAGTTTCTTTTGTTGAATAAGTGAAGAGTTTAAGATGAACTGAATATCAAGGTATTACTATTTTTTCCAGTTCTTGCGATATACAGAGCGTGGTGTTAGCAAATCAATGTAGTCTCTTTCATAAGCCTGAATGCTAGACATCCTTGCTCTAATGCATTGTGTTCGAGAATCCATTCGCCTTTGAACGGGTGATGAATGTGACAAAGTGACGACAGCGTTATTCTTCCTTTTACCGGTATAAAACGTTCGACTCATTTCTAATTTCTCGAACACGTCGATAGTTTTCGTTACATACTTACACTATTCAATGATGTTTACTGCTTACGTTTACTCCCTATCTGTCGCACCAATCACGATAGAAAACATTTTATGGTAGAAGAGGTTCCCAGAACGATACAGGCTGACAAAGTGTATCTTGTAAAACGTTCGGCTATTTTCTCGATACTACGTGCCTGGCTTTTCTTAGATATATTATGGAAGACTTTCATAGCAATTACACTATGTTTTAGCCGCGCCAACGCAGACAACTTCGGCGATTGGAGCCGGTGCAACTGTTCCTACTAGCGCTGCTGTCGCTACGAATCAAGCTGGTAATCCTATTACCAGTGCACCAGTCACTACTGGCCCATCTGGCGGTAAGATCAATTAGAATAATGTTTCTCATATTTAGATCATAGTGAAAGGATAGATAGAGTTGTTATTGTTTGCATAATTCCACAGTAAATCACAGTCTAGATATATTTCTCGCGAGAAACCAGTTACGCACTATATTTCTATCTAATAAGATACTTCCAACTGGAACTTTAATCCGCTTACTTTGTATATTCATTTTGTTTTCCACCATGCACCTTTCACAATGCGCTCGTCACTTCCTGACATATAACATAAACCAAAACTCACATATCTTCACATGTTAATTGAAGATACATACCATGGTTCCATCGTAACTAAAATAACTAGAAATAACAGTATTTTTAAGCATGAGGCAAAGATATCAGGAGTTGTTTTGCTTTCGCTTCGAATGAGTTATGACTGTATGTTATAAGTGGAGAGAATGTAGGTAATCAATTGATTAAACTTTCAACACTACCACTAATAATACGAAAATCTTATTTGGACCTTGAAATATGTGTATTATGATTTAAGTACTGTGTGAAATGTTTTTTCTTCTTCCAATGCTTTCAAACTTCAGATAACAATCGGCCCTTACTGCAGATTAATGCAAGCTGTCAAGGATGTATTACGAATATAGTGATGATATCCACGTGATCTGTTTCTGACTAAAATCGCCAACTAATCGGAGTGAAAGGAAACATCACCAATTAGTCGGTTCTCTGTCCATCACGGTTTGTGTTGCAGTCATGAGATTTATACAAGAGCAACATAATTTACCGAAAATTTTCGGAAATGTGTGCATGACTAGTGAACGTGTGAACGTCGATTGAGCTCCAGCATTTTTTAGATCTGATTTAAGCATTAACTAGGTGTGTAGTCTAGAATCAAGATGTCGCCAATCACCCATTGGTTCGTTGGGCAGTTGAACCCGTATTCATTTTCTGAGAAAATGTTTTAACTCCATAGAAAGTTAATCGAGTCTCTTACGAGTATATTGAGCTGAGTTATCAAACTTGTACTCGACAGTTCAATTGTGCTTCGTCATGTTACTCTTACAATTCTACTCAATTTTAGGTCAAACGTCCGCTCAAGCGAGCTCAACCACCCCGGTTCCACCCACTACTGTAGTTGAATCACAACCGACAGGTACGTTGTCACAACACTAGTTGTAATCAGTAGAACAATAGGATTCTTGTCAACAATCAAACATATTTTATCGTTTTGTCTAAAACGTTTAGGTAATAATACATGTACCGCCGCGAAATCAGGAGATTTCTTTAGTGGATCAACAGTAGCATATGTTCATTTTCTGGGAAAATCTTTTAACTCCAAATAAAGTTAGTCGAGTCTCTTACGAGTATATTGAGCTGAGTTATCAAAGTTATACTCGACAGTTCAATTGTGCTTCGTCATGTTACTCTTACAATTCTACTCAATTTTAGGTGGGTTTGTAGGGTCGACGAATATGATGCTGGGTTAGTTGACTGTGAACAATGAATACAAAGTATAGCTTAGTTTGTCATGATTATCAGACAGTCAATACACAATGTTTTTATCCAGTTTTCTACATCGTACCCGTAGTTAGAGATTTTCCGTAACACTGAAATAATTTATCTTTTTCTCTTTCGAAGAGTTTTTTGTCTTGTTTTTTCACTTTATTATTCTCACTATTCGTTTATTCACAACTATTTTATCAAAGCAGACGCACATTGAAATCTTACATTATACTTTTTGCTAATAACCGTGTCTATTTTTAACAAAGGTTCCCTATTTTATTTTTATTTAATTAGTATAACTTTAAGTAATGCACTGTTTATTGATTGAAATAAATGGATCTTTAATCTGGAATGGCAATGATGATTCATAACAATAAACTGTTTAAAAACACTGCTGAAACTGCGCTTTTGTCTGGAAAGTGTACAGAACACATTATAATTTCATTTTAATATCAGATGTTTACATCATCTATGTGGTACTGAAATAGAAGACAAGAGTATTCAAGAACAAATGATTTTGTATAGGCTAGTAATCTCACTATTGTAGTGAAACATGTCCTTCAAGGCCTCTTTTTTTCTTATGAATGACTACAAAAACATCTGACTTTGTCATAAAATCAAGAGAGAAAAGGCGCTTTTTCCCCTTCTGAACATCGCACAAACCGTATAGGATTTCAAGGACTCTGGAAGGCTACCGGAGCCGCTTTTCTTCCCTTGCATAAAATCGTATAAGATCGTTTCTGTTTTTTTCGGAAAGCCAAAGAATAGCATGCAATACTAAAGAGGATTATGTTATATAATTATTTTAAGGTTGACAAAAAATATTACATACCCAGGAGAAAATTCTTGAATGCAGATCTTGAGAAATCTTTAAAGATTTCTCAAGTTTCACCCCAGATCTCGTGTCCTCGTTTTCATGTTAACGTTTTTTGTTGAAAATTTTAATGTAACATCTCTTGAATTAATTTCCAAAATAAAACAAAACAAAGTTTCTTTGTTAGCAAAGATTTTGTTAATTACGGAAATGTTTTCAAATCTTGTCAAGATCTTGATCAAGATTTTTGCAGGCAGATTCCTCAAAAAAAAGCTTGACAAGAATTGTTGAACATTCTTTGAGATCGAGAAACTTGACAGATCTTGTGCAGATATAAACTTTCTACAGCACATGGGATAGTATGATGATGATTCTACCGCCATTTTGTGCAGTTCACCCGTGTCGCCAAAACCAAAATTCTTTTTTTGCGTGTATCAAGTGAATAACGCAAAAAAGAATGCAAAAATATAAGTGGTGTAACGCGAAAAATGGTTACAAATCAGAAATTCTGTAACGTCTAGAGCGAACATTTCATTTCAGATTAACTTACGAGCTATCCCATATTAAAAAAATTTTCTTTCAGAGTCTTTCCCTCGTTTATAAATGTCAATAAATAAATATGGCGCCGTGACGCACGTTTTTCGCAGTGAGTTTTCAAGCACTTAATGTCCTCCAAAAAACTTCATTTTTATATTTGCCATAGATTTCGTGATATTCTATCGATTTATGTGAAAACTATAGCTGAAAATATTTTTCAGGCTTTTAAACTTGATTGGAACCTTGAAACATCGAAAAGTGTAAGTTGTGTTCCTAACGTTGAGTGGTCGATAAAAATGAGCCATTTTGTAAAGAATTTAATTTTCTATCGAATGGTGTAAATTTTAAACTTTTTAGATCAGAAATTTTAAACTAAAGTTTTTATAAAATTTTAAATTAAAATTATTAAAAGACCCGAATTGATCAAATTTTATACTATTTAGTGAATGTCATACTCCAGCGTTGTTCTAATAGAAATAAAATCGATTTAATTTATTTCGTACTTTTTTTTCCAAAATTTGACTTATCACAAACGATCGTATACGACTGTCGTGACTTCATCATATTTCATGATTTACATGGTATCGTATCTATACACGCATACGGCAGTTGTATTCTGACGTATTTCAGCGTAAGCGATCATATACCACCTGCGATGAAAGACCTGGGTATAATTACATCGGTTTGAACGTTCCTCGTCAAATCATCGTAGACGATAGAGTCTACCATCGATTAATTTATAATACTTCACGATTCCACTCATTTTCTTTGAAATATTTTCATCTGAGGGTAATATTCCATCATGCAAATAATCAATTAGAGGCTGGAGTTTTCTATCCATCCGCTGCGCTTGTTTTATATCATCAAGGACGTAGCAGCCATTCCACACATTCTCAGTGAAAAATGAGATAGAAGATGAGCCATAAATGACTCATCTATATGCCATATATGGCTCATTTTCAAATCATATCTCTTCCATATTCATCTCACTTATTGTGTTATAATGTAGTCATAATTATGTCATTTTTTATGGGATAAATATCATCTTATTATGGTCATCAAAATATGGTCATCAAAATATGGTCATCAAAATATGGTCATCAAAATATGGTCATCAAAATATGGTCATCAAAATATGATCCCATTATGATCCTATTTAGACCATTTTTAGCTCATTTTAAGACTATTTATGAGATAAGAAATATAAAGAAGAAAAAACATGAAACAGCTCGTGTAGAGATTCGAACCCTGAACCTATAGATCAGAAGTCTACGTGCTATCCGCTACATCACACGGCTATACAAATATATATGTTTTTGTTCCTTCTGTTTTGGGATTTTCACTGAACTTTTCAAAAGCTAGTAATTTTGATTAATTAGCCCCTAGTTTTTTCGATAAACACTGTAGAGAGTTGAACCTAGAAACTAATAAATAGTAAACTTATTTTTGACATTTTTGTACTTCTAGTCCTATCTTGGAAAACACTTCTTTCATGGCAAAAAACGGAGAATAAAATTTAAAAAGGGGTTTTCACCCTGAAGAAAGGATTTTTGGAGGTCAGCTTCGGAGTAAAAAATATCAGAAATTAAGTTTACTATCTTTTAGTCTCTAGGCTGAACTCTGTACAGTGTTTGTGAAAAGTGATAGAAGATAAATGCGCATAATTCCATAAAAAATACCTAACTCTTGCTGTGTGGAAACACTTTTATTTAGTTCGTGTTCAACGTCCATATTTTTCACCTGAAGTGGTGAGACGACTTCTGTTGGATATCTAGATAAAATCAGCTTATTGGTTTTCCGTTCATGAGCGATGCTTTACTATCATGTCAAGCGCGTCTAATTTGATACCTCAGCGTGCTAATCGACTACTATCCGTTCCAAAAAAGAATGCGGATGGTTAGCTTTTGGGAAATCAGTTGCGTTCTCAAAAAACTAACATACAAAGTTAGTAATCTCTTTGTATGCGTATGTAGTCCGGACGTTACTCTACAAAATCATGCAAGCCCCCGCTCTCCAGCCATCGTCATCAATGTCACATAAATAATTGTCAATGTCAAGAATATGAATCAATTTACTTAATAAGTTGTTAGATTATTAAAAATGAAAATTGTTGAGTCATTTTGTAAGGTGAAGAATTTTAATATAGATAATAAGAGATACACAACCTTTTTCATCATGAAAATCGACTATTTTCTGTTTGAGACGTTTCGTCTTTATTCAAAAGACATCCTCAGTCAAATGTGACAGACGAAAGTTGGTTGTGTGACAGACGAAACCAACTTTCGTCTGTCACATTTGACTGAGGATGTCTTTTGAATAAAGACGAAACGTCTCAAACAGAAAATAGTCGATTTTCATGATGAAAAAGGTTGTGTATCTCTTATTATCTATAATGAAAATTGTGTTTGCAAACGTGCATTTGGATGTTGGAGCTAGTATTTCATTCCGGGTACCACAGATTAGGTTCAAGTGGGTGTTGGTGAATGTTTGTGTAGGATTATTGGGCGCGCTCTATCGATCTAAGATGGTCTCGGACAATTTGGGGGTGTTGGTGGGTGATGTCGTCTTGTACAAATACCCATAATTTACGGTCAGAAATGAAGTTGCCAGAGCAGAGAAATAATACAAATCTTTACTTAAATATTCTTCAGTCATGACTGATAACGCCAAAAATGCCAGAGAAGGAAGAAAAATTACGGCTAATAAAAAAGATTCATGCATAACTCATATTTTGTTATTTGTATTGAGGGATGCAATATATTTTGTGAAAAATGCTATTCTCAAATAATAGTATTTTTATCCTTAAAAGTGGAACTCGTTATCATTGAAAAAATCTGAATCAAATAAAATAGATTTTATAAGAATATAAGAGAAAAAGGTTTTCACAAAAAACGTAGCTGTTCAATTAAATATTAATGAACAATCATGGTAACACGATTTTAGTCAGAAGATTTTGTCTAAAAAGGACTTTTTACACTCTTCACTATACGATACAGGCACAATTCAACTTTATAAAAAAGTCAAAAGCGAAAATTTTGAAAATGGTATTTTCACTGGAAAACTTCGTTTAAATTGACTTTTCATATTTCAGAGCACCTTAGCATCTCCTGTATCGTAGAGAAATATTTTTTAAGTTCTATGATTTCACTCTCAAAACTGCCTAATAAGCTTAAAAAGAAAATTTTTAGAACTACCATATTCTCATAGTAGTAGTGTGGAAACTAGAGTTTTTCTCGAAGACATTAATAATATTATCAATTGAAATCGATAAAAACATTTCAGACGAACTTCTATTCTTTAGCAAAATTTTACTATAGGCGATACAACTGATCCCGTACGTAAATTTTTCTGCCTTTTCCGATAGCACAGTGGGCATTTCCTCATAGAGCAGGCGGCATTTTTTGCCGACATAGTTTTTTTGAATCCAAAAGCACTTTTTTATAGGTTTTCGCATACGGTATTTCCAGCAGTGTGGCAA